TCTCTTTCTCTCTCTCTCTCTCTCGCCTCTTTCCATCTCGAACCGGCCTCCAGCCTCCATTATTTTATTATTTTCAAACACGTCACTTTTTTAACGAGAGACCGTTCGTTCTTTCTCTCTCTTTCTCTGGGCGTGGCAAAGCGATGCTGCAAAAAAAAAAAACATGCTGGAAATCGCACGATCGGGGGGCGACCGGCCCTCTTAGACATTATTAATGTGGATAGGCGGACGAGTTCACTTTGGCGAAAGGGAGAAGCCGGGAGATAGAGAGTCGGCCGAAATTTTCTTTCATGTTCCGAACCCAACTTCTCGAAACGGCGTGTACGCGTCAGGGCACATAGTTAACTTTCATGTTGTTGGTAAATCTTTCTACACGAGAGATGGGGAGATGTGCGAAAGTGTCGACCGCGGCGACGACAAGGACCTCGGCGAGGCTGTTTGCTCGGCGAGATTTTATTAAATCGCCGCACAGCCGCACACGCGACGAAAACTTGCGTCTCGTGAGCGAACGAAATTTTTCTTTTAACGCGCGCTTGCTTGTCTCGCGACGACAATTGAGAGAAGTTGACGCTCTAAAAAATCTGTACGTATATTTGTAAAGAAGCGCGATGAATACGAATCTTATGTTTTCGTTTCGAAACCGCAGCGAAGCTCCTCCTTTTTCGATTTTATTATCTTTATTTTAAAAAAATACAAGTTTTTACTGGAAACTGCGTATATAAAGCGACGCGATGCGTGCAAGTGAATGATACATCTGCGCGATCGCGCATTGTATTTTACGACGCACGAAGGCGAAGATATCCGAGGCAGTCGGTCGCACGAATGTCTGGGCTGTTTATCCCGGGCGGAGGCGTTGGAGCGTGTGCCAACGAGAGATCGGGCTCCGCCTGGAGCAGTTAAGGAGGGCTCTAGTCACGGGGGTGTCGGTCCGAATTATGCAACACGAAGGAATACGGCGACTTAGGTATTTGCTCGCACGTGAATCCGCCACCCCGGGCACATTTTGCCGTGAAACACAGCCGGGGCGCGTTCCATATTTAATCGCCGACGGTTCACGTCTTCGTATCCGGAAGCCTCAATGCTCTCATAAAGCACCGCCCGATACTCGCGGAATTAGCATGAATTTATTACAAAGTAATCGGGTCGGCCTATTTTTGACTACAATCAGAGATCGAGTGAAATGATTGCGAAATTTATGATGGTGTTTTGCAAAAATATGTGAGATGAAATAAAAGTAAGAAATTGTAGCTTTTCTTATTGATGATGTGTGGAAATTTATTTGTTTGCGCAGATAATTTTCAAGGACTTCCGCCGGAAGCGATACCCGCCTTCCTGCAAAATCTGCAAAACTCTGCGGGCTACAATATCGCCAAGCCGATTGCGAGGCCGGCGGCTTATCATCCTTATCACCACCGGCCGAGTCACCAAACCCCTCAACGACATTTACCACCGAATGCTCACACGCTGCAGCAATTGTTTTACAGAGGTCCATATTTGACAGGTAAGAAGTTGTACACGATAGTTGGACAAACTACGCGACTTAAGTTTAATTCGAAGCTAATTGCAGCTGCAGATGAAAATATTAAACTATTTTATTTCAAAACTGCTAAGCTTGTTTTCGAATTTATCTGTAAATATATATATATATATTTAGTGTTGATATTTGAGTATTTAAATCAAAATGGAGTTGTTTCAATCTATTTGTATTTTTAAACAATTCCGATATGATATCACGCAGCCGATATGGAAAATATTTTACGTATCGCAAACGGTGTGCGCATTAGATTTCCGAGTTTTGTGCATTTATTATTTCATCGCTCGCAATACTCCACGTGCAGTTAATAAACAAGCGCGGACGGGCGACGCGGAAACACGGGCCCGATGAACATTTAAAACCGAAACTTCCGCATATGGCGCCAGGCGGTGGCGAGCGCGCGCGCGGCCACGTGAGCGCGCGGGCCGCGCACACG